GCCAATTAAATTCTCTACAAACCTGTTCATGAAGATTTTAATTTAGTTTTAATTAATTACAGACTTTAGATTAATAGTACAAATTCGTTTTTAGCTATTGGATTGATATCTGGCACTATGGTAGGAAACAGTTTGTTTTTTTGATAAAAATTTCTTGAAAAATATTTCAAAATTAAGCCAGTTAACAAGTTCCCAGTTCTATATGAGTGGGTTTCTGACACAGAAAGCCCAAAGTCCATTGAGTTTTTGTCAACATTGATAATAGGTTTTTTGGAATGGGTTTATGTGTAATGCTAAGCCTGAATGGTATTTCTCCTGAGTTTCTTTAGAAAAATTTTCCAGTGAGTCAAGAGTTGGTAGTAATTCAAATTGTGACTATAACTGTGGCTCTTTGAAAAAATTGTGTGACGATACTAGCCAAAATTACCAGTCTCTTCATCACTTTTCTACAAAATGTTCATTCTCAAAAGTTAATTATTGTAATTCAAATTATAATTACTGGTTTTGGATTACCTCCAAAAAGTTGTCCAGCAAATCAAGAGCCAATAATAGTCAAACTTTCGACTATTTACTTCAAAAATATAATTGTTCAGCGAGCTAGTAATAATTATTCAAATTGGGATTATTGATGGCTCTAGAAAAATTGTCCAGTAGGTATATCGATAACCGGTGATAGTTGAAATTTTTACTATAACAACGCTATTATGCGACAACCAGTTAGTTAAGGAAAATAATTATCATCCTGCACTACAGCTTTATCTAACATGCAGAAGTTCTGATATTGGAGGTAAATTTATGAATAAATCATATACCTATGACTTTCCTGTTCTCATGTGAAAATGTTAATGTTTGCCTTAAGTATTTTTATGACACCTTTTATACTTGTTTGAATATATCCATTTCTAAGATGGTAGCCAATGAGTCTTCATATGCTCCAAAATGTTCTACTTGGTACTCCATTGAGCTGGTACATAATAATATAAGAGAAAATAATCATTTACATAAAGCTCTACGAAAAAATAAGCTAACCTCAGCTGATCAACTTAAATACAATATTCTAAGAAAAACATCAAGTCACAAATAAAATCTGAACATAAAAACTATTTAACTAATATTGAATCAAACATACATGCAGATCCAACATGTTTCTAGGCGCTTTTCAAAAATAAAGAAGATCAAAATGGAGTGTCAGGGGAAATAGTGCTTAATGATGAAAGCTTTTCAAATGCTTTTCATATTGCTAATGCTTTTTCAAAGTACTTTCAGTCTGTGTATGAAACATCAAGTGAGCCTGTAAATTACGGGGCTAGTTCGGGGGCTACTTTGATTAATTTCTCGATTAATTTATCTGTTATAACAGCAAGGGATGTTATTAAAAAATTAAAAACAAGGAAATCTTTAGGTAAGGGCCAAATTCCAACCTATATTTACGAGGGCCTAGCTGAATATATGGCAGATTAGCATTTATTTTTAACCTTGCTCTTGAAGAAAATAAGTTTCCGGATGCCTTGAAGCTAGGTATATAAGGGTGGCAGCAGAAATGATATTCGCAATTATAGACCTATTTTCATATTAAATGTTTTGAGTAAAATATTTGAAATTATTCTTCGCGATGACCTCAATAATGCTCTGCAACAAAAAATGTCTTGTTTTTAGCATGGGCTTGTTGCAGACAGGTCGATTGTATCAAATCTTTGCTTATTTTCTGAATATGCCCTAAAATCAGTTGAGGAGAAGCACCGGTTTGATGTAATATATACAGAGAAGGCTTTCGATAAGGTTTTTCACAGTATACTGCTGGATAAAATGGCTGACTATAGCCTGTCAGAGAAATCATTCCAATTTTTAAAATCATATCTATCAGATTGTTATCAAATGGTAAAAATTTCTGGAAAAATATTTTCTGAGAAGTACAGGGGTACCTCAGGGTAGTATTGGGCCTTTACTTTTCACGTTTTTTAATAATACCTTGCTCGATTCCTTGAAGCAGTCAATGGGCCTACTATTTGCAGATGACTTCAAGTTATTCAGAGTGGTCTCTGAAATTGAAAAGGTCACAGAGTGATATGGATTGTGTAAGTGAATGGTTTAAGAAGAACAAGATGAAATTGAATATTAAAAAGTGTTCTGTAATGTCTATTGCTAGCAAATCCAACTATATCGAGTTTAATTATAGTGTAAATGGTAGAGTTTTGAATCGAATAAGTAAGGTGAAGGACTTAGGTGGCTTTTTTCAGTCTAATTTTAAATTTAACAACCATTATATATACACAGCAAATAAGGCATACAAGTGCCTTGGCTTTATCTCAAGAAATGGTAAAGATCTGAGTATGGAAACACTAATTCAACTATGCAATGCTCTAATGAGACCACACTTGGAGTATGCTGCTCAAATCTGGATGCCACTGGCTCAGTGACATATAAATCACATTGAAAAGGTTCAAAAACGTTTCTTGAGATTTCCTGTATGTTAGGCAAAATGGAGCGTACTCGTTTTTGGTCTCATAGGGCAATGCTAAACAGTTTCCCTATAAAATACCTTGTACAAAGAAGAAATGAACAAGCCGTGATATTCATATACTAAACTGCTGGACAAATGAACCGGAACAAGCGAATTTTTAGTTAAACTTTGGATTCCAATATTACGCGAACTGAAGAACCTATCAATGAGTGATTTGCGTAATTTAGAAGTTAATTTTCGCAAACCGCTCATTGATATTTTTTTCAGTTCGCGTAATATTGGAATTTGAAGTTAATCTAAAAATTCGCTTGTTCCGTTTCATTTGTCCAGCAGTTTATATAGTCAATAATATAAAGTTCAAACATTGAAATTTCATTAATTTTATGGATTTTATGATACCTAAAGTTAACCTAAGGATTCTTGGCATAGATCGAGGCATAGATATTTTTTAAACTAGTCAGTATAAAATATCTCTTCAAAATAAAATGATGGAACAGCGCAATATCGTAAACAGGGAAAACTTATTTGATATAGTTTAACACTAGCCTCTCTCAGTTAATAGATTTAATATCTTAATCTGTGATTGTGTAATGTTTCCTTGTTAGAATTAGAAAATTTTTATCTATTTATTGTGTGTGTCTTTTGTGTTAGTTTTAAGTTCATAATAATTATTTTTTATTTACTCTTTTTGTTCTTTTTGCCCTGGATTTTACCTTTGCTTGTAATTACCTTCATGGTTTTTGTGAAGATGTATCAATAAATAAAATAGGAAGGTAAATGGAAAAAAAGCTCAGAAAACAGCAAAAGTAAAATGAAAATCCTGCTTTACAAACGTTGAAACTGAAATTATTCAGCGGAAAAGATTTTCTCATTTCTACACAATAAATCTTATTTCATACTACAATAATTGGCTTAGCTTCAGTAAGTAAGTATATTTGTGGCGAATTGCAAACTCTTGCAGTAATTTTTTCCTATTGTTTTCATTCCTGAAAGTGTAATAATTTTCATAAATATGTACCAACTATTTGCGTACTTTTTTGTTTTGTGGCCAACTACTTTCATTGGTATAGTATTTAATTTTGTGTTTCATTTTTTCCTCTTGCTCTTATTTTTCAAAGTTCTGTTTTTTTCATGTACCTATCTTTCCTTGTTCTGGATTTATATGGAATTTGGAAAGTCTATGTGTTTCAAATTTTGATGCAAATAAGATGAATAATATTAAGTAGTACAATTTAAAAAATACAAAGGTCATATTGTTGTAATTAAAACGCCTCTAAATAGGAAATGCGAATTATACCCATAAAAAAAAATATTGCATGACACATGATCTGCGCATTTATTTTTAAACATGCAACTAAAACGTATTATTGTTTTTCAACGCATTTCCATACATTAAAATAATTATAGTCAAAAAGTTTGAAACTCAGTATTTTTCGCAAATTGATTAGATAATGTGTATTGCATCATAAAAATGTGTGGCAATAAGAATTTCACACTAAAACCACGATTCAGTTGAGTGATAATAAGAGAAACGAATTACTTAAGGAACCTCTTGTGACAAAAATATGTAAAACTTCCTGATCTAAATCGAACATAGAGCCAAAATTACACTAAGATGTTTGCGTTAAATAGAGCTTAATTGGAGCAGTTTTTGAGGGAACATCAACACAAAGTGGCACAGTTCCTGTGAATTTGTTTGTAATATAAAAGAAAATTTTCATAAAGTTTTCTTGACCCTGTGTTAAAAATAGTAAATCCATAACAAAGAATGAAGCATTCAGAATGATGATTCTCTTTGTAAAAGAAAATTTATCAGATTTTAAAAGAATCACAGTTGTTTTCATTAACCTTGATAATTTTGTTGTTGAAAAAAATTCCTTTAGCTAACAATAAAAAAAAGAACACGTTGTTTAATTTTTCAATAAATTTACATATTTTTATACAACAACTTGTATTGGAGAATTCTAATGATTCTTTAATTGGCCCCCTAACAGGAGGCCTGATTTTAACCCAGTAGATTTTTGAACGAGTTTTTGAATATGAGTACTGTTGAGTAATGTGTTTTATGAATGTACAAAAATAAGAAAAAAAATTCTATCAAATTCACAGTAATGTTTTACTTTGCCTTATAAAGTTAAAAAAAAAATCACCCACAAATGCCCTCTATAACTTTCAAGTACAAGTACAGAATTTCATTGAAAGGATTTTCTCAAAATAGCTTTTATCTTTGATCGGTTTTTTCAAATGGTAATTTTCTCGTTCCTCTTATTGGTTTTCATTTATTTCATGTCTCATTCAAAATTTACCTTCTTGTTAAAACAGTGTCTCAATCTCAATGGAACTTTCTATTGATAAAAAGTAAGCAAATTCAGAGGTGCTAATGACGAAATAAATATAAATATTAAGTCTAAATTTATAGTGATTTCACGCTCCTCTATCAGGGGCATCTGCGATCATTGAACCTGCCATGCCTTTGCATTATTTAATATTTAAGTGGCTCATGCTTGGAATTATTTTATAATCAATTTTTTTGTTATAGGGCTCTTTCGACCCTTCACCATACCCTGATCAAGCCTCCACAAAGCAGCTCGTTGGCATCCAAAGAACAATCCAGAGATTTTATGGCGCTGTTTCCCGATATTGTTAGGGAACTGACTGATATTGGAACAAGGAACCAGGAGCTGCCTGAAGTTATGAAGCGATTTGCCAGAGTAAGTGACTAATTTTACTCTTCAAGATAATTATTTATCTTTCCTGTTAATGATTTTTCGAGTATAGAGTATGGGGTAATTATAGAAAAATTACTTCGCTGATTAAGTACCTACTTATAAGTTGATAATTATTATTATTTTCAATGTTATTTGAGTCACAGCAAAAAAAAATATTGTAAAAAATACATAATGTAAATCATCAATTTCATATTTTAATTTCAGACTCTACAATACAACACCCCCAATGGCAAAAAATACAGAGGAATGATTGTGATTTCGTCATATAAAATGTTAGAGGACCCTGCTAGACTTACACCAGAAAATATTAGATTGGCCAGTATCGTAGGATGGTGTGTTGAAATGGTAAGGCAAAGATAATTTTATTTGTTATAGAAGTTTATAAATAAATGCAATCGTCAATGTTGCACTCGATGTCAACAAAACGATTGTATTTGATATGGATTATTTGTTTAAGTTTGTTCATGGTCAGTAGAACAATTGGAGATAGATGATTCAAAAATACTTAAATAAAATTATTTTTAAACAAAGCGAATAATATTTATTTATACATTAATGCCAGGCTTATCGAATGTATTTGATTAAAATTTCTAATTTGCATTTTTAACAGGCAATGCATGATGATATTTCATGATTTGTTCACGTGCATGCATGAAATTAATTAAATATTTGTCGGCTTTGTTTTAATTTTATTGTTTACGTACCATAGGATTAATTCCTGCTTTTGCGAAAATAATATTTTTATTAGAAAATTTGGTTCTTAAAATTCAAGGCCAACAGATAACAATTAAATCATATAGAAATTTCAAAACTTTCAGATTTTATTTCAATATTTATTCATCTTTATAATAATTATTCATTTTTGCTATTGCATATGGCTGCAAATTTTTTAGGTCTGCCCAGTCAGGCTTGTTTCTGGTATGAATAATTGCAATATTATTGATATTTTACCAACAACAAATCTGCAAATATGTTTGTAGGTATATAAAATCACTCACAGATAATTGTGTAATTAGAAGAAAAAAAAATTACATATTGAGTAATTATTATTATTGATAAAAATTAAAGTAAAATATTACGAAAATAAACAACATAACTTGAAACATAACAGTGCACGCGATGGTATCAGGTATCAGTAGGTGACTTTCATTAGTGTTTTAATTTAGTATAGAAAAAGTTAAAAGTTGAACAGATATTTTATACTGTTCTGTGGCGTGAAAAACGTAGAATTTATTGGTGTTTTAATTTCCTGAATTTCCAATAAGACCACAGTATTAAAACAATTGAAAAGCTTGTAAATGGATTTAATTGGGACAAAAAACTGTTTATTTCCATTTCTTATCAGTGACCATTTAGTCTGATCAAATGGTGTTCAAACCTGTTTCGTAACATGTATGCTTTAGAAGGTTTGTTTTTCAACGGAACTATATCTTTTTCGGAATGCTGAATACAAATCTGAAGTTTGCTGCCTCGTAGCAGTACCGGCTCAGGCCGAAAAACGCGAAAAACCTCGAAATTTTCGGACTTTTTCCGGTTTTCTGGTAATATCTTGCAAACGACGCATCGAACGCAAAATGTCGCGTCCGAGGGGTAGGTCACTCAATAGAATTTGTACACCTAATTACAAATACATTCAATTACATGTATTTTTTTGTAATTGAATGTATTTGTATGTAATTGAATGTATTTGTTTGTGATTGAATGTAATTGAGAATGTAATTGAAGGTATAAAATTAAATGTATTTGAACGTAATTGAATGTAATTGATGTAATTAGGTGTAATTGAGTGTAATTGAATGTAATTGAATATAATTAAATGTTATTAACTTTTTTTGGAAATAAAGATGGATGATGGAGAGGGCATGTATTTATATCTAATTGACAGTAATTGATTGTAATTGAAAGTATTTGAATGTAATTAAATGTAATTGGATGTAATTGAACGTAATTAAACGTAATTGAATATAATTGAATATAATTGAATGTAATTGAAAGTAATTGATAAAATGTATTTGAGCGGTATTTGAACGTAATTGAAAGTAATTGAATTGTAATTGAGTGTAACTATTTGTAATTGAGTGTAATTATTTGTAATTAAGTGTAATTAAATGTAATTGAACGAAATTGCAAGGTAATTGAGGTAACTAAATGTATTTTTTCAATTACATTTCAACATTTGTACACCTAATTGGGGAGTGACCTACCCCTCGGTCGCGTCATTCGAAGTTGAAAAGCATGAAATTCTGCGTCGAATAACCTCCTAACCATGTTACTGCTAAATTTATAGGCTCGCCATCGTCAGTCGAAAATAGCCAATTTTAATGAACTCCTGTGAAAACTGTAATGAACTTACTTACGAATGAGAGTGAAATAAAATGGACATTGCTATTAGGTATTCTCCACAGAGCGTAGTTCCACACTATGCTAAAACTTACTAGCCCTTCTTCTTCAGCTGACTATATGGTCTTCCCATGATTTTTTTCTACAATATAGGTACATATGTATTTTTATTCTCTCATCTTGTTAATCTAAATGTAAATAATAAATGAGTAAATATTTTTGTGTGTAAATGGGTACTGATTGTTGGAGTTGCGAGCTCTCAGGACCGCATATTTTTCTCTGGTGGAGTCACACATTACTTATGGAATTGCATTTTGGGGCTGTTGCAATACTACAAATTTCAACACCATATTTATTTTACAAAAAAGAACTCTTAGGTTTACGCTTAGAATAGGCCCCTTGCATCAAATTTTTTTATTGCTGATTTCGATAGTCCATGAAAAATAAGTCAACACGTGTTTTTTCTTTTTTTTTCCGAGGAGGAAACCACCTTAGAATTTTGGTGTACAAAATGATAGAATTTTTTAGAATTTCTTAGAATTTTTTAGAATTATCAGTATTTTTTATCATTTTTTAGTATTTTCTAGCATTTTCTAGAATTATTTAGTATTGTTTAGAATTGAATTAGAATTTTTTAGAAATAATTTAGAATTTCCACCTATTGCGCATGCTTAAGAGCCTGCGCATTGCACAATCTGTTGGGATTTTTGGAAATTTTTTTGAATTTTTAGAATTTTTCGAGAATAAGCATTTTTCAGAATTTTGGAATTATTTTTGGTGTAAAAAATTAGTTAGGTGGGTTCCCTCGAGTGGGAAACCTTTTTAGAATTTTGGTGTACAGGTTGATCTATTATAAATGTCACCCCCTCCTTACTTTTTCATTTGACATTTTTGACAAAAGTGTCAAATACAAAAGTTTCAATAAATTGTCGAAAGTTTTTAACTAAGTCAGTTTTAGACATACAGGGTGTGTCAAAAAAGTGTAGCAGTGTGAAGTTATATTTTTTCAAATGGAACACCCTGCATATTGTGCGCTTATTTGTTAGTCCCTTTTAACATGATTTCAACAATATACGATTTGATGTGTATCTTCGATATTTATAAGGAAAAACATGAAAAAAGGTTTCATATTGAAAAAAGAAAAATTATATCATTTAAACTTTAGAGAATTTTTTTTATGAACAGTTTATTGTTCAAATTTTATTCATTAATATACAAGGTGAATTATTATATTATAATAAATCCAGTTATTATTATTATTTTTGAAAAAATAACATGAGAGAACAAGCAAGGGATTTTCGCGTTTTTCCCTATAACTATTGAAGATAAACAGAGAGATAAACATATCAAACCGTATATCGTTGAAATCATATTATCTGGTATGGTGCTGGAACTGATAAGGGGACTAACAAATAAGCGCACAATATACAGAGTGTTCCATTTAAAAAAATATAACTTCTTACTGCTGCACTTTTTTGACGCACCCTGTATGCCTAAAACTAACTTAGTTAAAAAAAATGATAATTTCCTAAAACTTTTGTATTTGACAGTTGACACTTCTGTCAAAAACGTCAAATGATAAAGTTAGCAGGGTCGACATTTATAATAGATTACCCTGTACAAACTGATAGAATTTTTAGAATTTTTCAGAATTATCAGTATTTTTTTTGCATTTTTTAGTATTTTTTAGCAATTTCTAGAATTATTCAGTATTTTTCAGAATTGAACTAAAGTTTTTAAGAAATAATTTAGAATTTTTATCTATTGCGCATGCTCAAGAGCCTGCCCAATTTGTTGGGATTTTTTAGAATTTTTTAGAATTTTTTAGAATTTTTAGAATTTTTTGGTAATTTTCATGTTATTATGAAAATTAGCATTTTTCAGAATTTTAGAATTTTTGGTGTACAAAATTAGGTAGGTGGTTTCCCCCTCGTTTTTTTCTTAGTCCAAAATTGACAGAGATAGAACGCACTTCTCATATAAATTAGTGACGTCGCACATGCTCAGTATATCTATATATACAAAACTTAATATTTATATAACTTCCGGAATAATCATATTTGGGCGAAATAAAAAAAAAGTTACGATTTTTTTTCGATTTCCGACAGTTTGCAATAAACAATAATCAATTTAATTTTCCATGCAAGTACCCTATTCCCTCCCGACAATCTTGCAAACCTAGCTTTATTTCTCATAGATTTTTGATTTTTGACTGTGCTATGCTTATATACCCAAAAGTGTTTGCCTGGTCTATAGGAAATACTATGACCAACTTTTTTCGGCAAGGCACTATTCAATTAGGCAAGCTAATAATATTCCACTAACAAGAAGCACCTTGGTTAAGAAGTCTTTTGTTTATTTTTCCAAGATTCCAAGAAAGCCTTCAATTTTCTACTATCTAGCGTTAGGTCTTCACGTTCATAGTAGGTTTAGAAAAGGGATAAGGGAGTTACTCTTGACTAAAGCCTACTATATATAATATTGGATAGTTCTTTGGAGATACTTTGTGAATATATTATTTTTAATTTAAAATTTTAAATTGTTCTGATAGATATTAAGATTTATCATTTGAGTTGATATGCAATGAGAAATTTTTTCTGGACAATAATGTTGATTTGATTTGATTACTTCCTATTACATCCACATACATAATATTTATAAATCCTCAAGTCAGACTTACAAAAAATGGAGGAAGAAGTAATTTAGGGTTGACAAGTGGGTTTAAATTGACAGGCACAGACTTTTTATTATAGGACTGCTTCATTTTGTCAAATAAGCGTTTAGAGGGAAAATGAAGAAATTATGGTGCTCAACGAACTCAATATTTGGTTAAGTACATTTTTAAAGAGTTTTTTACTTCAAAGTGGTTGTTTTGAAATCACTGTTGTCTAAAAGTAAGTTTATTGCAGTTTGCACAGAAGCTCATCAAAATTGCCTTTTTCCGACTGACGATGGTGGGCTTATAAATTTAACAGTGATAAGGTTAGGTAAGGCATTCGACGCAG